GGTATGCGGGCAGTCACTACTGGGGCACTCAGGTATGCGGGCAGTCACTACTGGGGCACTCAGGTATGCGGGCAGCGCCCCCCAAGGACACCTGTTGGACCAAACGCTTGGCTCAACATTCAGAGGATGACAATAACACACACACACTGAAACTCACTCGGAATGCTGACCGGATAAACATCTCGACACGTATCATGTATCAGACCCGGGTCAGATGTCAAAGACAGAATGACACCTAACCGTGTCGTCACACAATCAATGGTTTCGCTCTCGATAACTCATGTTCAGTTTCAGTTCAGTTTAATTTCTTTTGCATGCTGCATTGTCGCAACGTTACATTGTCTCAAAGCACTTTACATTCCCCGCCCAAACCCCCAGTTAGCCAGCCAGAGGTGACAGTGGCATGGGAAAAACTCCCTAAAAAGAAAAAACTCAAAGGGGAGCCCATCCTCCAGTGGCCTCAGTGTACAAATGTAAATTGTTTATTGGAATGCCGGATGTTTTTAATTTGATAAATAATTTTGTTTGGCTCCTTACCTTGGATGCGATTTGAACTCTTGGTCAGTTTAGGGTCTGGCTGTACTCTGTCATGAGTACTCTGTCATGAGTACTCTGTCATGAGTACTCTGTCATGAGTACTCTGTCATGAGTACTCTGTCATGAGTACTCTGTCATGAGTACTCAGCCCTGTACGGGACCCACTGTCTGCTCTAAACACCGGCTATTTTCTCCAGGTTGGAGGACATGAAATCGCACTCCAGGTCTGCATCCCAGCCCTTCAGGTATGCCCCCTCCTCTGCTGTTTTGTATGTTTGAGTAGTACCCCCCCTCCAATCAGGAAGCTTCCGAGGTGCATATATAAAAGGTGGCCCATGCAGTGCTACTCAGACAGCACCACCCGGTGACGCAGCAATATCAAAGGCGGCCCAACATCAGTCATTCTGCCTCGACGAGCCTTTTTATGTGTCTTGAGGAGTGGATGTGAATTTAGCTCTCCATCTTTGTCCAAATGAGGCAGCCTTTAATTAATCGCCCCTTGTTATTGAAATGAGCTCTTCTGTGCCCCTGCACCTCGCCTATAAGGTGAGCAGATGGTGACGCAGGAAGATGGCCAGGTCAGGCTTGCTGGGTAAAGACCTCTCTCCGCTAGGGCATAAGACTATAATGATACAGACTGCTATTTGCTTTTCTTTTCAGACTGCCCCCCCTTCCCTACCCCATTATTGTAAATGCCCTTTGTTCTTGTAAAGTGTTACTCGTGTCTACCAAGCCTCAGGACGTGTTTTTGAATTGTTTTGAAAGCAGAGCATTGTCCACGTTAGTAACCCTTACTTTAATTACCATGAGCCGTCTTTTCCCCGGGGGGGTGGGCATAGCCGCCCAGTGGCTGGTACAGCGGACGACTCCGTGAGGGATTCTCTTCAGGTATCTGCTGAAATTGCTCTCCCCTTGAATGAGTAACAAGGAAGTGTCTGCATTGTCCCATTACAGGATGACCCCCGTTGTGGGTGTTCAGGGCTTGGGGTCTCCTCTGAAGGTGTCCAAGGCCCCCCCCTCAGCATCCCCCTCTGCCAAGAGGATCAGCCACACCTCCTCCACTTCGGCCTCCAACCTCAAGAGGTGAACTTGCTCTCACTCCTCGCGCGCTCTCACTCCTCGCGCGCTCTCACTCCTCGCGCGCTCTCACTCCTCGCGCGCTCTCACTCC